AAGCAAAAGAATACACATTCTTCTTGAGTGCACATGGAACATTCTCCAGAATAGATCACATACTGGGTCACAAATCAGGTCTCAACTGGTACCAAAAGAATGGGGATTATGCCCTGCATATTTTGAAACTACAGTGCTTTGAAACTTGAACTCAATCACAAGAGGAAATTTGGAAGGAATTCAAACACTTGGAGGTTAAAGAGCATCCTACTAAAGAATGAATGGGTCAACCAGTAAATTAAAGAAGAATTAAAAAAAAATTCACAGAAACAAATGAAAATGAAAACACAACTGTTCAAAACCTTTGGGATACAGTAAAGGTGGTCCTAAGAGGTAAGTGCATAGCAATACAAGACTTTCTCAAAAAATTAGAGAAGTCTCAAATACACAAGCTCACCTTAAACCTAAAGAAGCTAAAGAAAGAATAGCAAATAAAGCCTAAACCAAGCAGGAGACAAATAATAAAGATTAGAGCAGAAATTAGTGAAATAGAAACAAAAAGAAAAGAACAGATGAACAAAACTAGAAGCTAGTTCTTTGAAAGAATAAGATCAATAAACCCCTACCCAGAATTATCAAAAAGAAAAAAGACCCAAATTAAATAAATCATGAAGGAAAGAGATCACAACCAATACCAAGGAAATGCAAACAATTTTAAGAACATATTAGGAGTAACTCTACACCAACAAATTAGGCAATCTGGAAGAAATGGATGCATTCCTGGAAACATATAAACTACTAAAATTGAAATTTATAAACTACAAAAACTAAAAACAGAAAGAAAAGGAAAACCTGAACAGACCCATAACTGGCAAGGAAACTGAAGCAGTAATTAAAAATTGCCCAACAAACAAGAGTCCTGGGCCAGATGGCTTCCCAGGGGAATTCTACAAACATTTCAAGAAGAAATAAAACCTATTCTTCTGAAGCTGTTTCAAAAAAACAAATAGAAGGAAAACTTCCAAACTCATTCTATGGGGCCAGCATTACCTTGATCCCAAAACCAGACAAAGACCCCATCAAAAAGGAGAATTACAGACCAATATCCCTGATGAACATGGCCAAAACTCTCACGAAGATACTAACCAATAGGATCCAACAGTACATTAAAAGGATTATTCACCACCACCAAGTGAAATTTATTCCTGGGCTGCAAGAGTGGTTCAACATTCCCAAATCAACATATCACATTAAGAAAGGACAAGACCATATGTGATCCTCTCAACTGATGCAGAAAAAACATCTGACAAAATACAGCATCCTTTCTTGATTAAAACTCTCCACAGTGTAGGGAGAGAGGGAACACACCTCAGTATCTTAAAAGCCATCTATGAAAAGCTCACAGCCAATATCATTCTCAATGGGGAAAACCTGAGAGCTTTTCCCCTAAGGTCAGGAACATGTCAGGGAGGCCCACTCTCACCACTGTTGTTCAACATAGTACTAGAAGTCCTAGCAACAGGGCACCTGGGTGGCTCAGTTGGTTAAGCGACTGCCTTCGGCTCAGGTCATGATCCTGGAGTCCCTGGATCGAGTCCCACATCGGGCTCCCTGCTCAGCAGGGAGTCTGCTTCTCCCTCTGACCCTCCTCCCTCTCATGCTCTCTGTCTTTCATTCTCTCTCTCTCAAATAAATAAAATCTTAAAAAAAAAAAAAAATAGAAGTCCTAGCAACAGCAATCAGACAACAAAAAGAAATAAAAGGTATTCAAATTGGCAAAGAAGTCATACTCATGTCATAAATGACATGATACTTTATGTGGAAAACCCCAAAAGACTCCACCCCCAAATTGCTAGAATTCATACAGGAATTCAGCAACATGGCAGGATATAAAATCAACGCACAGAAATCAGTTGCATTTCTCTATGCTAACTATGAGACAGAAGAAAGAGAAATTAAGGAATCGATCCCATGTATAACTACACCAAAAACCGTAAGATACCTAGAAATAAAAACCTAATCAAAAAGGTAAAGGTTCTGTACTCTGAAAAACTACAGAAAACTTATGAAAGTATTTGAGGAAGACACAAAAAAATGGAAAAATATTCCATTCGTGGGGATTGGAAGAATAAATATTGTTAAAATGTCTATACTACCCAGAGCAATCTACACATTCATTGCAATCCCTATCAAAATACCATCAACATTTTTTCAGAGCTGGAACAAATAATCCTAAAATTTGTATGGAACCAGAAAAGACCCAGAATAGCCAGAGGAATATTGAAAAAGAAAACCAAAGCTGGTGGCATCACAATGCCAGACTTCAAGCTATATTACAAAGCTGTAATCATCAAGACAGTATGGTACTGGGGTGCCTGGGTGGCTCAGTTAGTTAAGCGTCTGCCTTCGGCTCAGATCATGATCCCAGGGTCCTGGGATCGAGCCCTGCATCGGGCTCCCTGTTCCACGAGAAGCCTGCTTCTCCCTCTCCCACTCCCCCTGCTTGTGTTCCCTCTCTCGTTATGTCTCTCTCTGTCAAATAAATAAATAAAATCTTAAAAAAAAAAAAAGGACAGTATGGTACTGGCACAAAAACAGACACACAGATCAATGGAACAGAACAGAGACTCCAGAAATGGACCCTCAATTCTATTTTTTTTTTAAGATTTTATTTATTTCAATTCTATTTTTTAAAAATATTTTATTTATTTGTTTGAGAGAGAGAGAGCATGAGCAGGGAGGAGGGACAGAGGGAAGAGGGAGAAGCAGGCTCCTGATGTGGGGTTCAATCCCAGAATCCCAAAATCATGACCTGAGCCTAAAGCAGATGCTTAAGTGACTGAGGCACCCAGGCCCCCCTGAACCCTCAATTCTATGGTCAATTAATCTTTGACAAAGCAGGAAAGATTATGCAATGGAAAAAGGACAGTCCTTTCAAGAAATAGTGCTGGGATAGTTGGACAGCCACATGTAGAAGAATGAAACTGGATCACTTTCTTATACCATACACAAAGATAAACTCAAAATGGATGAAAGACATAAATGTGAGACAGAAATACATCAAAATCCTAGAGAACACAGGCAGCAACCTCTCTGACCTCAGCCGTAGTAACTTCCTGCTAAACACGTCTCCAAAGGCAAGGGAAACAAAAGCACAAATGAACTATTGGGACTTCATCAAGAAGCTTCTGCACAGCAAAGGAAACAGTCAACAAAACTAAGATGCAACCCACGGAATGGGAGAAGATATTTGAAAATGACATATTAGAGAAAGGGCTAGTATCCAAGATCTATAAAGAACTTCTCAAATTCAACCCCCCAAAAACAAATAATCCAGTCAAAAATGGGCAGAAGACATGAACAGACACTTCTCTGAAGAAGACATACAAATAGCTAATAGAGACATGAAAAATTGCTCAACATCACTCGGGATCAAGGAAATACAAATCAAAACCACAATGAGATAACACCTCACACCAGTCCAAAGGCTAAAATTAACAAGACAGGTAACAACAAATGTTGGCAAGGATGTGGAGAAAGGGGAACCCTCTTATGCTGTTGGTGGGAATGCAAGCTGGTACAACCACTCTGGAAAATGGAGGTTCCTCAAGACATTAAAAATAGAGTGACCCTATGACCCAGCAACTGCACTACTAGGTATTTACCCCAAATACACAAATGTAGTGATCCGAAGGGGCACCTGCACCCCAATGTTCACAGCAGTAATGTCCACATTAGCCAAACTGTGAAAAGAGACCAGATGTCCATCAACAGATGAATGGATAAAGAAGATGTGGTATATATATACAAAGGAATATTGCTCAGCCACCAGAAAGGATGAATACTTACCATTTACATTGTTGTGGATGGAACCGGAGGGCATTATGTTAAGTGAAATAAGTCAATCAGAGAAAGACAATTATCATATGGTTTCACTCATATGTGGAATATAAGAAACAGCCCAGAGGATCATAGGGGAAGGGAGGGAAAACTGAATGGGAAGTCATCAGAGAGGGAGACAAATCATGAGAGACTCTTAACTGCAGGAAACAAACTGAGGATTGCTGGAGGGGAGGTGGTTGGGGGGATGGGGCAATTGGGTGATGGGCGTTAAGGAGGGCACATGATGTGATGAGCACTGGATGTTATATGCAACTGATAAATTATTGAACACTACATCTGAAACTAATTATGTACTATACGTTGGCTAATTGAATTTAAATAAAAATAAATAAATGAATGAAATAATCAGAGAAAGGTAAAATACCTTATGAGTTCACTTAAATGTAGAATCTATAAAAGAAACGAAACAAAACAAAACCAATCTCATAGATACAAAGAACAGAATATTGGTTGCCAAGGGGTGGAGGTTTGGGAGGTGTATAACAGGTTAAGGGGATCAAGAGGCTCAAATTTCCAATTATGAAATAAGTCATGGGGATGTAATATACAGCATGGTGACAACAGTCAGTAATGTACTGCAAATTTGAAAGACTAAGAAAGTAAATCTTAAACGTTCCCATCATTAGAAAATACCAATGTTTTAATTTTGGTGACAGACGGTAACTAGACTTATTGTGGTGATATTTCCCACTGTATTTAAAGTGTCCCATCATTATGTCATACACCTGAAACTAAGATAATATCGTATGTCAAATATACTTAATAAGAAAGAAAATGTGAAGCCCAAAATACAATAGTACACACAGGTTGTATACACCCTCACAGTTATGTAAGAAAAAAAGCAAATGTGAGGTTTCCAGGTTTTTTACATAATTATTTATCACTTAAAAAAACAAAATCACTCATGAGAAAAAATTATCCTACATTTGGTTAATTCTCAAAGAAAAAGATCACTATTTCACAGACTAGAATTCTAAAACTTCTATTTTATATGTTTCACATATTTTGGTGAAAATTAAACAATTCCAATCATTTTTCCAACTTAGCTTATACATGACATATATAGACACATATATACACACATGCGTGTGTATTTAAATTGAAATTCTGCGCAGAGATATTTAGGAAGTATTAAATGTTACCATTGATAAACTTACGAATCAACATGCAGAACCCTCTGGCCACTTCTTGAACATGCAGCTGCAATGATGGATTCAGGCAAACCTATAAAAACACACAACTATATCACTCAGAATGTAGAAAAATATATAGAGAGAGAAATCTTACACAAATAGTTCATGCATGCCATCACTGCATATAAAAGTTTACCAAAGGAGGCTCATCCTTGTATTCAAACTTCTAACATTTGTATCATTGGATATTTGTTAAATGTACACTACTTATCCTGAAATTTTATTATGTGGAGATTTTTTTTAAATCAAGCACGTAAAATCTTTTTATATGCAAATTTCCATAAATGAGCAACTTTCAAAATATTATTCATATAGCACTTTGTTATTTAGTAGCTATGTTCACATACTAACTCATCTCATTTTCCAAACTGCACTGACAGTGAAGCATCATCAGCACAGAAATGAAATACTGAGGGGCAAATATGTTAATTTGTTGCCCAATGCTTTAACATTTTTTCCTATTGTTGAAATTTGAATCCAAATCTAACTCCAAAGCCATCCAGTGCCTATGAGGGGGAATGGCATACATTTTTCAGTTTAAGCAATAGGTTAGGTAGTTCAAAAAGAGGCCATTTATTGAGACCTGAAACCATAAAACGCCTGGAAGAGAACAGAGGCAGTAATTCAATGGACTATCACACAGCCATAAAAAAAGGATGAGATCACGCCATATGCAACAACATCGATGAGCCTAGAGGGCATTATGTTAGGCGAAATCAGTGAGACAGAGAAAGAGAAATACCGTATGAATACACTTATATGTAGAATCTAAAAAACAAATGAATAAACAAACAAAAAGCAGAATCAGATCTACAAATACAGAGAACAAATTGATGATTGCCAGAGGGGAGTAGAGGGGGGCACGAGCAAAAGGTGTGAAAGGGAATGGAAGATACAGGCTTCCAGTTATGAAGTCACAGGAATAAAAGGTACAGCATAAGGAATATAATCAATGATATTTTAAAAGCACTGTATGATGACAGATGGTAGCTATACTTTTGGTGACCATGGCATAATGTAGAGAGAAGTTGAATCACTATGTTGTACAACTGAAAAATAATGTAACTGTTGTCTAAATGAATGAATGAATGAATGAATGAATGAACGAACGAAGAAGAAAATCCTATTTTAAAAAAGAGGCCATTTACAAGACACATTATCTCACTTTCTGGTTAATACAGCAGTTTGAAAAGAACATTAGTGTTCTGGAATCAAATCGAGCCACACCATAAAGTGGGTTATCATAAAGGAAATATACAAGTACTAACAAAAAAAAAATCACAAATTACCAAAGAATGATTTCATAACATAAAAATTTCAGATGTTCACCAGTTAATACACTATATTATACATTCAAGATTGTTCCATAACTTTTTATTGTAAAATCTACCATTTCAGTAGAAACTATTAAGAATCACTTATATGTAGAAACTATTAAGAATCACTTATATCAGTCAGACAAAGCATGTTTTGAAAGTTTAGTGCAATTCTGTAGTACTACCACCTACTCTTTCACTATAATGAAGCACCTTGATCCTCTTGGATTTTTATGTAGTGGAAAAGAAACAGCACATTTTTTTTTTTTTGTCAAGGATTTAAACTACACACTAAGCATCAAGGATTTCAAGAAAAGAGAAGAGTTATCTTCCTTATGTAAAAAGCAACAGGCATATGGAAGCAATTGACACAATCTAGCTAAAAACCACATTAAACACAAGCTCCAGCTGCATTCACAGAAGAACTAGAGTTTTCCAGTGGTGACTACTGTGGGTGTATAGTGTTTGGTTCAAAAACAAAGTTCTGACTCGATGTACTGAAGACAGCCATTAAATATCAATTATTGGAAATAATCCATAATAAACTTTCAACTTTAACTTCAGATAATTCAAAGAGAAAACATAGTAAGAATTTGTGGTGTAGAAGGAACTAGGAGAAAGAAAGTTTTATTTTTTTTTGAAAGTTTTAAATAGTTAAGCATACTTAGTTCTTCAGTCAAAACTGTATTGTTCTAATGTCTTTTATCTTAAGACTATCTGAACTTTTTACACCTAAAGAAATAACTTTTCTCATTAATGAAACGCAGTCACTATGGTACTTTAAAAGCTGCCAAACATCACAAACATTAAAAAGGACAACAGGAAAGAAATATTTGGGAAGGAGAATTAGTATGTTAAAGCATGTAATAATGACAGCACTAATAATATACCACCAAACATTAGTATAGGGCTTTATGGTTCACAGTATCTTTTCATATACATCACCTCATTTATTCCTCATTATAATCCTGGGAGGCAGGCATTATTATCCATGTGAGAAAATGGGATGAGAAAGATTAAATAACTTGCCAAAGATCAAGTAATTCATTAATTTGATATCTCAAATTCAATTACCATGGTAAATTCACTCTCTTCAACTTGGACATGAGTTTGAGAATGAGGATTCAAGGGGAGGACAGCAGCATAAGGAAATGAGTATGGTCTCAATCAGACAGACCTAGGCTTGAATCTTTTTTTTTTTTTTTAAAGATTTTATTTATTTATTTGAGAGAGAGAGAATGAGAGAGAGCAAGCACATGAGAGGGGGGAGGGTCAGAGGGAGAAGCAGACTCCCTGCCAAGCAGGGAGCCCGATGCAGGACTCGATCCAGGGACTCCAGGATCATGACCTGAGCCGAAGGCAGTCGCTTAACCAACTGAGCCACCCAGGCGCCCCCCTAGGCTTGAATCTTAATTTTGCTGCTTAACTAGCTATGTGACCTCACACAAGTCACTTGCCATCTCTGAGCTTTTGTTTCTTCATCCATCAATGGGAATACCGCCATTTACCTCATAGGACCATTAAGTTGTTGGAGGGTACTTGCTCTATAAAAACTACCTACTTTTATTATTGTTCAGCAAGATACTTTAGAAGCAATACATTTTCATCTAAATACTACTCCAAACATACATCTACTTTTACTAGATGCCAACTCCAATGGCAAGCAACAACAAAATTACTCTCCTATTTGGCTCTATTAGCTCTGACTCTGGATAGGCAAATATGCATGTGGTTATTTCCATGGCTGCAATCAACAGTCAGAGGTCATGTCTCTGGCTGACAAAGCAAAGCCAAGGACAGATTTCAATACTGAACATGGTTGGAGTCCAAATACACAACACCAAAATAACTATCATTTGTGTTTTCCCTTAATACTTCTATCCAGACACTCCCCATTAGTTTGTGAAATTGATAGGCTGTTTCTACATTAAATGGCAAGGGCCTATTATCTTCATGCTTAGAATGATTAACAGACTAATAATACAGTTAGTAATGTCTCCCCACATCTCATATTTCTTCCCACCCATTTAATAAACACTGAGTTAGTTCCTTGAACAGAGGAAGCATGTATTAGATTTTCCATAAATATTTGTTGAAGGAAAGAAAAAAAGAAAGAAAATGGGGAAAGGGAAGATAGAGAAGAATGAAGCAGACTTTGACAGGTGGTGAGAAAAAATAAGATAAGGTTAAGACAATTACTAGCCTAAAAGAGCTGAGTCTAACAAATAAAAATTTAAAGGGATTGGGACACCTGGGTGGCTCAATTAGTTAAGCATCTGCCTTCAGCTCAGGTCATGATCCCAGGGTCCTAGGATCCAGTCCGCATCAGGCTCCTTGCTCAGCGGGAGCCTGCTTCTCCCTCTGCCTGCTCTGCCTGTTGCTCCCCCTGCTTGTGCGCATTCTCTCTCTCTCTCTGACAAATAAATAAAATCTTTAAAAAAAGAATTTAAAGGGATTAAAATAATAATTAAAACTATTATAAGAACACAATGGAAAGATGCATTCCCTCTGTGGAGCAGTCACTGAAAGCTCCAAACAGCAGAGGACACTAGCTGCGTCTTTCAAGATCTGTAATTAACACAACTGAAGAGTAGAGAAGGAAAAGGTGAAAGAAAAAAAAAAAAGGAAAGTGGAAGGGAGTATTCCCGGCAAAGGGTGAAGGGAGAACCAAAAGGTGATGTTCAAAAAAGAGTATCTGGAACCAAACTGGAGTCTGAACTTGGAACCTGTAAGCAACAGGGAATCTTGAAAGGATTTTAGCCAGAACAGCATGGTGAAATCAGTATTTAAAAAAAAAAAAAAAAACAATTCTAGTAACAGCATGATGAACTGGTATAAAATTGGAGCTTTAAGTTTCAGGGGTTTTTTCTTAATTATTGTATAGGAAAAGTTAACATATTTAAACTTGGTCTTATCGATAATTTAGCAAAGTAGGTAAAATAACTGCTTGTTTTGTTTAAATTCATATTTATATGCTCAATTTTAATAGCATTTAAACCCTTGACTGATTTAAAAATGAAACCTTTTTTTAACATTTGGCACCATAAAATGTGAACTACTTCTGAATCATTACTCAAATTCACACAATGTCCTGTGAGGCCTTTATACAAAACATATATAAGCTTACAATGAATTACATAGTCTCTCCCACAAGGAAAAGCCAGACATGAGATAGAAACAGATAACCTAAATCAGGGTCAAATCACAAAGCATTACACTGGAAACACACTGTAAAATATGTGAGTACAAATATACAAGCACAATGTTTTCAACTACAATATGGGACTAATAATATATCTCACAGGAATGTAGGGAGGAATAGGTACAAAGTAATATAAAACATCTTACACAGGGCCTCCTAGCATGTCACTGACATTCAATAAATACTGGTTCTGTTCCCTTCTCTTCTAACCCCTTCAATAAGATTAGTTATTTGAAGAGGAAAAAAAGAAAATCACTTGTTTACTGAAGTTATCTTCAAAGATGTAAAAACTTAAAAAGTTTTTGAAAAGAAGTCCATTAGCCTTTTCTATATGTACATTACAGGCTTTTTCTATATGTTCACTAAAGAAGTTCACCCAACACTTAGTATTATTTAAACATTCCATATTATTAAGTATGGTTATTAAATTCATTTGTGAGGCCATATCAAATAACTCTGGAAAAGACTGTAGGAAAAATATCTAATTCTGATTCAAGACAAACACCTTTTACC